GTACTACCATTACTACTTCTACACTCTCTACTACCATTTCTTTCAGTACTGCCATTACTACTTCTTCATTCTCTTGTACTACGGCTACTACTACTACTACTACTACTACTACTACTACTACTACTACTACTACTACTACCACCACCAACACCACTTTACCTCCACCGTGTAATGACCCTGACACGTATCGGAAGCGGTTGCTGCAGCTTGGGACGGGAGGTGGGTGGGCGGGGGGGCGGTTGTCGAGGGAAGGGCGGCGGGGGACGCACGGTTGCGGAGCGCGAGAGAGAGAGAGAGAGAGAGAGAGAGAGAAAAAAAAACCAAACAACGGGACGCGGCGCAGAAAAAGAGCAGAGCGGGTGCACCGCGCCGACGCCAGCAGCAAGCAAACGACGCCCCGTCACCAAGAAAACATAGTTCTTAAAAACGCAGGGGGGGCGTTCGACTCCTGAGCCGAATATAAGACCGATCATGTATTACATTCCTTCTTGCATGTGCATCCGTGGGATGTTTCGTTCAAGTATGCGTGTGGTCTTATTCGGGAGAGATGGGGACCCTCAAACGCACCGACTCATGTCAGTCGCGCTCGGCGCCTATTGGTTCGCCGTTCGGTTGCCCCCCCAGCGCGGACATCCCCCTCTGGCCAAGATTGAGCGCAAGTTGAGTGGCAGGGGGCTCGAGTTTGGGCTCAATTTGCGGTCGCTTGCGCTCAACTTGCGCTCGATTTGTTAGAGTTTCGGTCCGCCATCTCCTCGTCACGATCCCCCCCGCACACACGCACCCCTCTCCAGCACTCAGCATCTGGGCGATGCCATGTTTCTGCCATGCGTTGTTTTTCTGCGTCGAGTGCAAAAGTATGATTGATGGAAGTCGTTGGTAATTAACTAGCGTGTGTGGTTACGATGTGTTGAGAGGACCAGGGCCATTGAACAGCTGAACAGCTGTTATTTTCACGTGCAAATATTTTAAAGCTCAGTCCCGACGTCGCCTCTAGACGCCCAACGCTGGTTCAATATTACACCATGGGAGGATCCAAGAGAAGAGGCGGTTTGGACACCCCCCTCGGTCCTTGCGGTAGGTTGTTTGGGGAGCGTGTTTCCATAAATGCCCCCCGTGGACATTCGGCGAGCACGTTATATTGTTATTGCAGATTCTCCCGCAGCTCTCCAATCTCAGGCCCATCCTATTCGTGTCAAGAGGCGCCATGGAGCCAAACACGCCGTTTACGCTTTAGGCGTCCTCTAAACATTGGGATGTTAAGGAGTTGTTTGCTCAGACTCCGCTTCTACAACAAGCAGATTCTCTCTTCAGTCATCCTCCGAAGATTGATATGTTCAAGGCTGCTCTGTAATCCATTCGTATTCAAACAATGGAGACGTTCAACGAGATGCGTTGTGCTCTCGGAGCTTCCACGGCGGCCCAGCAGCCTCCAGGTTTATCACAACGTGTCCGTTTCAATGTGTTTGTTCACACGGGCGTTTCGTTTGAGATAGCATCCAACAATTGTCTTCGGCTTGATATTCAAAACATGGGAATCCGTCGACAGCATGTCGGGTCTCTACGGATGTGCCGAGTTCCATAGTTTTAGCCAGTTTGGACCCCAACACGTAAGTTATGTCATTGTGGTCATGTCAGCTATGCGGTGTAAGACACGTGGTGTGAGCTATATTGTGCACGCTAGGTTGTGTAAGCTATACTGTGTGAGCTATGCGGTTTGAGCTATGCTGTGTGAGATATGGTGTGTGAGTCGTGTGGTATTCGCTATGTGGCGCGCACAATGTTGTGCAAGCTATCGGGCGTGAGCGATGTGCTACTAGCGAGGCGGTGTGTGGGCTATATGATGTGAATTCTGCGATGCACGCTAGGCGGCGTGAGCTATGTGGTGTGAACTATGCGGTGCGAGCTACGTAGTGTAAGCTATATTGTGTCAGCTATGTGGTGTCAGTTGTGTTGTCTGAGCTGGGTTGCGTGAGTTATTTCAGAGGCTAACGCCTTTTCGCCGACCCCCAGAAGAGGGACGAAGTCAATGGGTGAGGCCTTCTGGGGCCTCTTGTGGACCCTTGAGGCGCCTCGTTTGTGCCTGTTTTGGGCCTCTTCGGGCCTCTTGTGAGTTTCTTGTGCACCTGCTGGCGGTCTCGGGAGTCCTCTTCGGGCGGAGGCTCAGAATGTCAGTTCGAGTTGCTTCTCTTGGGCCCCTCTTTTTGCCATGTGGGGTGCTCTTGGGCCATCTTGGGCCCCTCTTGGGGCCCTCGTGGGAGCTTCTTGGGCCGTCTTGGAGCGACATGGGGGCCTCTTGAGCTGTCTTGGGCGCTGTTGAGATAAACATGCGAACATATTCAAATGAGAAGTTTCCTCAATGCTTTTGACGATTCTTGCTTCTTGGGGTCCTCTCAGTAGTCGTCTTGGAGTCCTTTTGGAGCGTGTGGGAGGCCTCTTGGGCAGTCTTGGGGCTATCTTGGTCGTCTTCGAGGATTCCTGTGTTAGTTGGTATCCTGCTTGAGCAAGCGTAGACCGATTCTTAGGCATCTTGGAGGCCACAGAGTAATGGAGGCTTCAGGGGCACCGGGGGAGCGTTGGCGGGCTCGCCCCCCCCCCCCCCCCCCCTCCGCCCTTTCACCCAGGCCTCCTCCAGGGCCCCCCCCTCTAATCGGATTTCAGACCCCAGGGGAGGGGGAACGGTGGAGGGGGACAGCCAATCATCTCACTCTCCTTTGCACCCCGGGCAAACGGGGGTCGGCGGATGTCGTGTGTGGTATGTGGTGAAAGGGAGATATGCGGTGTAAGATCGTGGTGTGAGCCAGCTACCTCGTACATGTGATCGTGATGTTTATGTGTCACGTGTTCTTCCACAGCTTTTGAATATCACAGGCTCCCCGCTCATGCCAATACAAATCTATAATTCAATAGTATAGTATTATTCTTACATTTGTTATTACCCGGAAGCCCCCCTCCCACCCCCCCTTAATCGGACCCCCCCCAGGGACGCCTTGGACGCCCTTTCGGACGTCTCATGAGCCCCTGGACGCCCTTGGAGAAGGTCTGCCGGGCCTTGCGAGCAGACTCAAGGCGATCAGAGGGGTCATCGGAGAGGCGCAAGAGAAACCCAAGACAGCACAAGAGCGCTCCAAGAGGAACCTCGATGGTCTGAAGACGGCCTAAGAGGCCCCCAAGACGCCCCAAGAGGTTGCTAAGAGAGCCCCGAAGAAGCAACAATCGTCCCACCCGCTCGGGAACATGTATAAGTTTAACATATCCGCTGTTTGGGACTTCGCAGCGTCCAAGACTGCCCGATGGGCCCCCGATGTCGCCCCAAGACGGCCCAAGAGGCCCCCCAGAGGGCTTGAAGACGGCCCAAGAGGGCCCCACGACTGCCCCAAAGAGCCTCGAGGCTGCCCGCAAGAAGCCCAAGATGCCCCCAGAAGGCTCCCAAAAGAGACCCACGAAAGCCATGGGAGACCCCCAAGAAGGCCATTGGAAGCCCCCTAAGAGGGCCCTAGATGGCTTCAGAAGACCTCTGGAAGGCCCCACCTCCCCAAGACTGCCCAAGGCGGCCCCGTCTTGGGCCCCAGGACGGCCCAAAAGAGCCCCCAAAACGCCTAGACGGCGTTTTTCTACGAAGTACATCGAGCTGACCCGACAATTTTGGGTCCACGCTGGAGGCTCGAGGTTCAAGTTACTCGATCGAGAGAGACAGGCAATGGATCCAGATTCGAAGTTCGACGATCGAAGATTCCTTGAGTGCCTGGAGCTCCCCAGGCATTCAGGAAGCTACCAAACATCGATTTGTTCGGAGCTACTGCGACTTATTTGGCGTGTCATAGGGACGCTCCTTACTTCCTCAAAGGACCTTCGCGCGTGAAAAAGCATCATTCCTTCCCCACTCCTGCGCACAAGCGTGCAAGCGCATCGGGTGAACGCGGTGTCGGAAGGCACCAGGGATATCAAACAGATGAGCCGGTCGCCCGTCCAGGCTTCGAGGTCCCCCCGTTGAAGCAAGCGATGCTTTATTGCTTTGCCAGGGAGGGTCCAGAACATAGCGCATGGCGCGAAGGGCCAAAGCAGTCTTGTATACATACATATATATATATATATATATATATATATTAGCTTCTGTGTTGAATCAAGGCATTATGGTTGTCTTGCCTTTTTCCACGCATTTTTGCCATCGGTCATATCAGTATATTGTATGGAGCCCGCTTCACATTGACAGATACTGAGGTTGGACCACTGTCTCGCCGTCACTTGCCTTTTCTCTCTGTTCAGCCTCATACGAACGGTTCAGGTATGTCCGTGCTTGCTTGCCGCAAGTTTACTTGTGTCTTTAGTACGTGGCATTTCGCATTCGGAGGGCGGGGCGGATCTCCGTTCTCCACTTGCATGTAGACAGGTCGTTTTCGGAGGCGTCGTCCGCACTATGTATGTATACGTTGTCGTATTGGTTTGCGTTGAGATCAAATCCCATGCGCGTCGTTTCTTCGTTTGCAGCTGTTTTTGGGATGTTTGTTGGGTCCTATCGTGACGTTGTAGTTTGCGTTTTTCCTCACATCTCTTGCTGAGGCGTCAGCCCTACCTTGATTTCGAGGCTTGTTGTGCGAATGAGGAAGTGTTTTTTCTTTGTGCTGGTACGGGGTCCATGCAGCGGGCTCTCTGATGATCACCTCGCTTGGCCATCACGGGAAAAAAATCCAAATGCCAATTCGCTTGCACATGTAGATGGCAAGGGTTCTACTATAACCACTAATGTACAGCCATATTCATTTATATCAGAAGAAGGCGAATCGACATCGACACGGCGCTACTCTCCCAAGTTGAGTTCGGGGATGTCTGGTTTGATACGTTGAACGATACAGCGACAGCAAAACACAATAAGGATCCTCTGTTGCCTTTTCGATATGTTCCTATCGGTGCCTGATGTCTTTGCTCCTAGCCACATCCGCAGACAGCTGCACATTGCACAGCCGTAGTACTCATTCCAGCATCCGCGGGTTGCAAACGTGTTTGCTCAAGCAGGGTGGATATTTTTACGCTGCTCCTGCATACCACCCCGTACTTGTTTGGCACACTCAGGAAGCCTGCCGCTCATAGCCCGCCTCTCGCGGGAAGGATATATGACGCCAGCCGCGGCTTCTGCCCTTGCGCCACCTGCGGCGGCCTGTGAGGACACTTTTGCCTTTGACAACGTCGTGTCGCTGCTCGCGTTTGTCCTGGGGTACTTCGTGTTCTCCCCGAGGTGCCGCCCTGTCACCCTGTGTGCGCTGCGGGCGTGCCACCGGGTCATCGCCGACCTGCTCGGCGTCCAGCCGGAGCTCCCGAGCCCGAAGCAATGAGGCCAGGGTGCTGGAGAGAGCCCCCTCGCGCAACTTGTCGGCGCGCGGAAGATGTCGGGCCATCGCCGCTTGCCGCTCGAGTGCGTGCGGGCTGGTGCGCAGACGCAGAATGACGTGTGCGCGGCCAGCTTCGTGCAGGAGGCGCAGAGGAGGTCGAAATGTTTTCTTGAGTTCTTCCCCTGAGATCTGGGCGTTGCATTCTTTTTCGCGCCTGGCGCTTTTGCCCTGTTCGGGCCCCAGGACCCTCACATGTCACATGTCGATCTGGCTTTAAAATTCTCCCAGAAAAATTGGGTCGAGGGCGCTGGTCGTGACTTTTCGCGAGGTTGTATGTTTCGCAACGTCCGACCTCCGGGTCCCAGACGATATAGCGCAGCACCCTCGCGGGGGGAGGTTGCCTGGCCCCCGTTTCAGAAGGTCAGATATTCATGTGTAGAATCTGACGCAGCCGAGGTGTTGGAGCAAGGACCACTTTTGGGCGCGAGAGGTTCTCTGGTCCTTTTGCTTTTCCTAAGATCTAGGTCGGGGGGGGCCTGTTCGTGGCCAAGGCAGGCCGTGGCCAGAACAGCCCCTTCTGTCTGTGATTTGGCGTTCCTGACCGTAGGGCGATGGCTTGTTGGGTGGGGTTTGGGAGCCTCTGACCCTCTTCTTGGTCCTGCTCGTGCCCCTGACGCCCCACTTCTTCCCCGTCCTCTTCTCCCTGCCTCTTTCCAGGGACCTCCGACGCCGTTCCGACGGCGCCGACCGATCACCAGGGTGTGCCGATCTTGGTCAGAGCCGATCCTTGGCCCACGGCCAGGGTTGATACGACCTCCTGGCCAAGCCAACTTCTGATGTTCTGAGTCCCCTCACTTCTCCCAGGGCCTGAGATGGGCCCAGAAAGGCAAGGGTGACTGTGCAGAAGTGGCGATCTCGTGATCCGAGCCGCGATTTTGATTCAGAGGCCCCGACTCCGTTTTCCTGGGATGGCTGTTTTCGCTCCGGGCAGCCTCTTGACTGCCCCTGGGTCAGAGAAGAGCACCCAGAGGTCGAGAAACAACGCCAGGATGGAACAGGTCACGATGTCGGAGACCTGGGGAGGCGTGTGCCATCCCAACTCGATTTGTTGACGGTCCCGAGTTCCGAAGCCAGCCTCCAGGTGCCAGGCCCAAGTTGGTGACGCAGGGAAGTCCCGGCCCCCAATCTCAGGAGGAAAAAGGCACAGTCACAACCCCCGATTCCGAGCCAGTCCCCTCCCCCTCCGCACCCCCCCTCAGCCCCCATCCCCAGCGAACCGAGCTCCAAGCGGGCTCACCAGGCCACCCCACGAGGGCGCGAGGACAGGCTGGTCAGAACGCGCTCCGTGTGGGGTCGGCCCTTGGGGGTGCGGGCCCAGGACGGCGTCGGACAACAGGGTCAGAGCTCGTGGCGGGTCGCCCTGCGCCAGTTCCGAACGTCGGGGGGCCCTGTTGGAGACCTTGGTGCGATCCAACATCGACCCCCTGGTCAAGCGGGCCTACACGACGAGGATGAATCATTCCAGAGCGTTCCAGAACGCTGTCAGAGCATTCCAGACCGCTCTTGAGCGGCCGCGGCGCCGCATATACACATCCTCCAGGCCCGCCAGTTCTTGAGGACTCCCCCGTGTGTCCGCCTCCGACGTTTGCCCTTATCTTGCCCTCGTCTGACTTTGACGAGGAGCCAGGCCTGGGGATGGGGTCGAGAGCTCCTCCGGAAAGGTCACGGCACATGACGATCCGAGGTCTGGGAGGACAAGGGCGGTCATGGCGGGCTGCCAGCCAGCGCTGGCCTGATCGGGCCTCGCCGCGCCGCAGACCGGGGGCAGTGTGTGCTCCCTGCGGAGGGGGGCCCGAAGGAAAGGGGTGGCCCCAAGGAAGTACGCTCAAAGTCGGTGCGCCTCACCGGGGGAAACCGAACGGTAGTGATACCGCTGCTCCCCGGACCTTCCCCTGGGTGTGTTCTGGCTCGAACTCCGAGGTGAATCCAGTCGTGGTGGCGCGGGCCTCCTATAGAAGGCCCTCCCAAAGGGGAAAGCGAGTACGTAGCGGTATCGGTACCCTTTCTTCCTTTTGTGGTGGCGCGGGCCTCCCAGAAGGCCCTCAAAAAGGGGAAAGCGAGTGCGTAGCGGTATCGGTACCCTTTCTTCCTTTTGTGGTGGCGCGGGCCTCCCAGAAGGCCCTCAAAAAGGGGAAGCGAGTAGTTACGTGGGGGTATCTGTATTGCGAAGGCTTTACGGCCGGTGCCGCAAGGAGGAGGAGAAGGAGGAGGAGGAGCACGCTCCGGTGCGGAGCAGGAGGAGGAGGAGCAGGAGGAGCAGGAGGAGGAGCAGGAGGAGCAGCAGGAGGAGGAGGTTTTTTTCTTTCCATGATCATTGCTCGAGCCTGTCGTTCTTTGTGATCCCGCCCGCCTGGTGCGCGCCAGGTTCATGCCGCCGCTGGGCAGCCTGCGGTCCGTGAGGGCCCCGGCGGCAGCTGTGCGGACCCCTGTGGTGCCACGGCACCCGCCAGGGCGTTGCCCGTCCGTGAGATTAAGTCGGGCACGCCCCTCTACAGGAGGAATATTCAAAAATAGTCAAAGAATATGTCAGGGGACGAATTTCTGGGCATTCTTTTACTATTTTTGAGTATTTATTGTTTTTCTTTTTTGTTCGCCCAAAACCCGCCTGTAGGGGGTCACGCCCAACCTAGCCGTAATGAAGACGGGACCTTGAGATGCTTGGTCTCTTGGCCGCTTAGCTTGCTCGTGTCTGTCCTCCTCAGCTTCCCAGGGTATTCCAACGGATCAATCAGATTTCGGGGCTCGTGTCTGTCCTCCTCAGCTTCCCAGGGTATTCAACGGAGCGATCAGATTTCGGGGGTCTGCGCGGATTGCTTGGGCCTAGCGCTGACCCAGGAAACTCGCGCGGACATCCAGAGGCAAATGTTTCTGCCGCTTTTCTTCAATAGCGTTCCGCTCGACGATTCTAACAGTGGTCAACGATTCCTTTCACCTGTGGAGATTATGGTG